GAAATAGGAGTTAGCCAGAGAAATAGGGAAAGAGGAAATGGCACAGAGAAAGGTCAGAGGCCAGTTCAAAGAACAAAAGGAAGGTCAAGATGAATATAAAGTGCAAGGTGAGGGGTGCCTAGGTGGCTCAGTTGGTTAAATGTCTGGCTCTTGGTTTCGGCTTACATCGTGATCTCAGGGTCATGGGATGAACCCCAACATCAGGCTCCACACTGAGCATAGCGCCTGCTTAAGATTCTCTCTTCCTTGGGGTGCCTGGGTGGCTCAGTCAGTTAGGCGTCCAACTCTTGATTTCAGCTCAGGTCATGAGCCCAGGGTTGTGGGATCAAGCCCCACGATGGGCTCTGTGCTCAGCGGGGAGTCTGCTTGAGATTCTCTCCCACCTCTCCTCCCTCTGCCCCTCCCCCACCTCTAAAATAAATAAATCTTTAAAAAAAAAAAAGATTCTCTCTTCCTCCCCCCATCCCTCCTCCCGCCCCCATCTCTTGCACTCTCTTAAAATACAAGTTAATTAATTAATTAATTAATTAATTAATTAAAGTGAAAGGAGAGAAAAGGTAAGCAACAAGTCTAGAGATATATGGGAAAAGGCCTTATAAACCACATGGAAGAGTCTGGTCTTCATCCAGAGGGCAGCAGGGAGTCTTAAAGGGTTTTAACAGTGGGATGACTTGGCTGCAGTGTGTAGAAGACCTGGGGGAAGGGCAAGACAGATGGCAGGAAGAACACTTAGGAGGTTACTGCAGTAACGCAGGCAGAAGAAGGTGGCGGCCAGAACTCACCCAGTAGAAGCAAGAATGGAGAGAAAAGGTAGCTTTGAGAAATATACAGGACACCAATCCTACTTCTTTTTTTTTTTTTTATTTTATTATGTTATGTTAGTCACCATACAATACATCATTGGTTTTTGATGTGGTGATCCACGATCCATTGTTTTCGTGTAACACCCAGTGCTCCATGCAGTACGTGCCCTCCTTAATACCCATCACCGGGCTACTTCTTTTACTCATTGATTTTTAAATGTATCTTCAATTACACTGCATTTGCATTACAAATGAACAGTTAACTGCCAGGGAGCTTAGGATGATTTGTGTGCTTCCCTGAACTTCAAAGGTTTGGTGATTTGTAAATGGTCAATAGGTACAATGGAATTCTGGAACTTCAGATGCCAATACAGATCTACGCTCTTCTTGTACAGAATGTATTTCCAGACTTAAAAATGTCGAGATTTTAGAAAAGTAAAATGGTGTGTATACTTTATTTTATATTATGTGACACCCTAGCGTAGGGTTTTGGGATATCTCCCTGTACCCAAATGCATTCACAATTTTGAGGCAAAATGTATGAAAAGTCACACTAAAGGGAATGAAGATGAGATTCGGGTCAGGTTTTGCTAGAGTTCACATCAGGTTTTGCTGTCAAATAAGTAACAAAAGAACTTGAGGTATTCGGAGCTCTGGGTGTTTCAGAATTGCAGATAAGGGATGGTGGATCTATAATCATATCTTAGCTTCTATGCTGAGTTTGGATATTTGTAAGAAAACTGTGCCCTTAGCAAGAATTTTACTCCGAATTACCAATGCACTTGAGAAGAGAATGCAGAGAAGGAAATAATTACAAGATCCCATCAGCGATACCCAACTGAGCTACTAAAGAAGGGTGTAAAAATGTCGTTGCAGGGGCACCTGGATGGCTCAGTCGTTGGGCATCTGCCTCTGGCTCGGGTCATGACCCCAGAGTCCTGGGATCGAGCCCCGCCATCGGGCTCCCTGCTCAGAGGGAAGCCTGCTTCCCCCTCTCCCTCGCCCTCTGCTCGTGTTCCCTCTGTCAAATAAAATCATAAAAAAATTAAAAAAAAAAAAAAAAAAAAAGTCGTTGCAGCCAGGTATCAATGTGTTGAGGCAACGAGATCATTCCCATCTTGTAAGATGGTGGCTGGAAAACCTGAGAAGACGGTCATTAAGCCCAGAATGCTGATGCTAGTGGCGAAATCCAGATGGAAGCCCCCCCCCAGCCAAAAGGCCCCAAAAAGAAAGCCCCCTGCCCCTGGGAGATGTCTTAGCAGAGGAGAGGCTGACATTCCCAATCCCTGAGGTATTCCAGCAAGGCTGTATCCAAGAGCAAGTCCACAGGGGTGAATTCCACGATTAAAAAGAAAGGGAGGTTCCACCACTGGGACAAAGCCAATTAGCAGGGATAAAAAATGGTGGCCCCAAAGAGATTAACACTTTTAAAATGATGAAGTATTACCCTCTTGAAGATGCACTTTGTCTGGGTCTTCAATCCAGATGAAGAGAAATACAAGCTTACAGAACGATGCGAGGCAAACCAGAAAACTGGGGACTCTCAACTTTTGCCACAAATCGGGGCCCTTGCTAGTTCCAGGACCACCTGTATTCTGTGTTGCCTTGAACACAAAAAAGACTGCTTGCAGAGCTGAAGTTAAAACATCCAAAACAATAATAACAAACAAATAAATCCCTGCTGTTTCAAGGGATTTTCTTTTCTGAGAGCTAATGAAGAAGTCTGTTAATACACCCAAACATGAGGGGCTCTAGAAGATACAGAGAGCACAAGGCAAATGTTGTGTATGCAAGAAATATCCTAGAATGTCAGTGAGCCTAAAACATACCAAGGTCAGTTATGAAGGTCAGGGATCCATGCCCCATGTCTCAAGGAAAGAAAGTTCCAAAGACAATATTCAAGGAAAGGAAGTTTCAGGCCCTAAACAACAGGCATAGTGTTGGTCCTCAAGAAGCATGTGGTTAGTGCAAGGCCAGTCTCCCAACACATCTGTATGAAAACACCTTCGCTCAGAAGGCTGGGTAGTGCTGTGGGCGGCGGGAGTCGGGGGGGTCAGGGGTCTTCTCTACCAGCACTGCGTTCTCAACTAATATGAAACCAACGCAAATAAACTGTTTATTATAGGTCAGGAATAAAGGCAATAAAGTCCCCCAAACTACCCTATGGAGGTTCAAGATAAATAGGAGTCCATCCCTCTCTTACCTTCTCTACGTGAGGCTCTATAAAAGTTTCTCTCCATTCAAGGTAATAGGATGGTCGTGTTTGAAGGGCTGAATCAGGAACAAAAATTGTTTCTGGGATACATTTTTTTCCTTTAGGAATCTAAACCCCCAAGAACCTAAACAAGGCCCCAAAATGAATTTTAGCCTCGTATACGTTATGCTACATGTACATTAGAAATACTATGGCACTGTTCAAAATGATGAGGCAGATCTGGGGGAGGCCGGTGGGGAGTGGGGGAACTGGGTGCTGGACATTAAGGAGGCCACGTGATGTAATGAGCACTGGGTGTTATATGCAACTGATGAATCACTGACTTCTACCTCTGAAACTAATAATACATTACGTTAATTAATTGAATTTAAATAAAAAATTAGAAAGAAAAAAAGAAAGCTGTGGTAGGGAGGCAGTTCCCCTTTCCAGATTCATTTACAATTAATTGCAAAATTCTATAACTATCCTCTGAATCACATCTAACACTCAAATGTTTTTGTTGTTGTTTTTTTTTTAATATTTTATTTATTTATTTGACAGAGAGAGACACAGCGAGAGAGGGAACACAAGCAGGAGGAGTGGGAGAGGGAGAAGCAGGCTTCCCGCTGAACAGGGAGCCCAATGCAGGACTCGATCCCAGGACCCTGGGATCATGACCTGAGTTGAAGGCAGACACTTAACGACTGAGCCACCCAGGTGCCCCTAACACTCAAATGTTTAATGATACCAAAGCACAGAATAAACAAAACAAGGTGTGATGTGCCTTCATGTGCCACACACTGCCATGGGCAAAGGCAAAAATTAATGTCGGAGGGGGCGCCTGGGTGGCTCAGTTGGTTGGGTGACTGCCTTCGGCTCAGGTCATGATCCTGGAGTCCCAGGATCGAGTCCTGCGTCGGGCTCCCTGCTCAGCGGGGAGTCTGCTTCTCCCTCTGACCCTCACCCCTCATGCGCTCTCTCTCATTCTCTCTCAAATAAATAAATAAAATCTTTAAAAAATAAATGTCGGAGGTAATAAAATATTGACTAATTTTAATAGAAAACAAAACAAAAGAATGAGGCAGATCTGTATGTGTACGTGCTGACATGGAAAGATGTCAGGGGTAAATTGCTGAAAGGCAAAAAGCAAGCTGAGGAGCAGAGTAGAAAGCAATATACACCAATTTTGTAAAAACAAACTATATACATGTGTTATAAATACAGACATAGAAATATTTTTTCCATTAGGGTCAGGAAGAACATACATAACCATTAATACGTTTTCCTAAGGAAAAGGATTAGAAAGAAAGGTAGGGGCGCCTGGGTGGCTCAGTTGGTTAAGCGTCTGCCTTCGGCTCAGGTCATGATCCCAGGGTCCTGGGATCGAGTTCCGCATTGGGCTCCTTGCTCAGCAGGGAACCTGCTTCTCCCTCTGCCTGACACTCCCCCTGCTTGTGCTCTCTCTCTCTGACAAATAAATAAAATCTTGAAAGAAAGAAAGAAAGAAGAGAACCTTCCCTTCTATTTCATACCGCTCTGCAGTGCTTGCATTTTCTTAAAATCACAATGCATTATCTCAATTTTTAAAAATTAAAAAATTTAATGACATTCACTAGATTTAGTGGTGATCATTTTGCAGCACAGACAAATACTGAATCATTAGGTTGTACACCTGAAACTAATATAATGTTGTATGTCGATTATGACTCAAAAAAAAAAATTAAAGCAAGATTCTAGTCTACTAAAGGTCATATCAGACTATTCCCAAATAAATGACTTCTCATTATTGCCCTTTAAGCCATGGCTACAATACCCAACAATAGATGGGGCTGTCTCTAAATGGACTGGCCCTTAATCTTTAGGACAGGAGAATAGGAAGATACCTCAAAGTGAGGAAAGCAACTTGATGGACCGTACGGGCAAGAACTACATCCAGTTCTACATCTGTGATATCTGAGTGTCAGCAGTGGACTAATTCTAGAGAGATGGATGGAAAGACTCACCAGATAAAGGTTATTTTTGTCCTGAAAGGCGTACTGTAACTGGGGGATCCAAGGGCTTGTGCTCCGAGATAATATGTTCCGTTCTTCCTCAAAAAATGAAACCTAGGGGGAAAAGAAACTCTTTAGACAATTATAACAGCATTGGGGTAGGGTGGGGAGAATGCCCTATCCTCTCTCTGTAAGCCAAACTAATGTCTCTAGTTTAAAAAAAGAAAAACCATCCCTTAGCCCAGCACTCGACAAATTTCATTCATTTGCCTACTTTGCTCAACATTTTTGCCAGATTTGTATCTTATTTGTCCAATTATTGGCTGAACCCCTCACCTTAAAGTCAACTCACTTCTTTTAAATCTATGTATATTTCTCTTTCTCTTCTTCTTCACCTCCTCTCCCTGAACAATTCAGTCCTAAAGCCATTACGTGGTGCAGAACAAGGTAAGCATCCATGACAGGTGGTAGGAAGAGAGGGCCACGGTGGCCCAGAACAGGGTGCCAGGCCCAAGCAGTGTGAGGAGGGCAGCGACCATGTGTAAGGGCAGTCCAATATCGGGTATCAAGGGCCCACATAGGGTGAGGAAGGCATCCACATGCAGGGATGGCCTGGAAAAGGGCATCTGAGCCCACCAAGGGGAGGAGTGGCAGCAAAGACAGGAGACTGGATGCATACAGATACATAAAGTAAGCTAGAATATTAAGGGAAGAGAAGAGAGCTACAAATACAGAAAGGGTGAACACTAGAATAAACTCAGTGAAGTTGGATTGGACTTGGAGGTACTGGTGTGAACACATGGTTTTTCAATATACAGAGACAGAGAAATAAATATCGTTGTAAATGTGTGTGCAGAGGTAGGTGTATTCCCTGGCTCTGTCCACTGAAAGGGGTCTGGAAGCTGTGATACCCCAATAGCAATAAGGGCATCTAGTGCCCAGATCTTGGCTTCTAAATACCCTCTTACACTGAAAGTTATTGCTCATCTTTGAGAAATAACTGATGCAAGGGTGGGGCAGGCAAGAGCCTGAACATCTTGTTGTGCCAGAAAGCAAAAGACAACCCAAAGAAGGGGATGTGTCAAAAGACGCAAAAATCAACCTGAAGAGAGTCTCGTGGCCCAACTTAGAGGACAGTTTGAGTATAAAAATACATAATGACAATAATGGCTTGAACTCATTGACTTAAACAGGAAAATGCAAATCCACACAGCTATAAGTTAATAAATTGAAAGTTTTGTGAGGAACAGGTGCTTCTAGTTCGAAAACACTTCCCTACGGAACACTAATGTAATGACGAAACAGACAGGGCTGACCCCACAGTGAAGCATGGCAGATACCTAAGTGAACGTTGACGTGAACGCAACAAACTGAAACAAGGTCACCCGTTGGGATGCAACGAGAACAGGGCATCTTGTCTGTGATATTCCTGCCAAAGATCTAGCACCTGAACCTGAGCAACATTGGACATATCTATATTTTACAAAATAAGTGGTCTCTAATCTTCAGAATCGCCAAGATCATGAGAGTCCACGGAAAATTGAGAAGCTGGTCCAGAATGAAAAAGACAAAAAAGACAGGACAACTAAATGCTATGTGGGATCCTGAGCTGGACACTTTTGTTCTAGAGGAACGTGAAACAACCAGTGGAACATGAATGGGGTCTGAAGCCTAGACAGTGGTAATGGAGCACTGTTTCTCTCCTGATTTTGATGGTTGTATTGTGGTTCATGGGACAGCGTCCTTATTGTAGGAAATGCACACTGAAGTCTTCGGACGTAATGGGGCATTGGGTTGGCAACGGATTTTCAAATGGCTCAGGAAGAAAAAAGTTGTTCATACTCTGTGCTAGTTTTCCGTGTCAACTTGGCTAGGCTACAGCACCCAGCTATTCAATCAAACACGAATCTAGGTGTTGCTGGGGAACCACAACCCAACTGCCGTAATCTCCTGCTCCTGATCTGAGGTCCTTCTCCTTTCCCGGCACATAAAAGGTGTGCAGTGAAGGTTGGCCAAACTAAAGAACCTACATCTTTACTTGCTCACCGTGGACTCTTTGTTTGAGCCCTGAAGCTTCTGTTAAAATAAGTGGTCTCTGAGAACTCTTCTGGTTCTCACCAAGCCCTGGGCAGCTGTGCTGGCCTCTCCTGGGTGACCGGTCTTGCTTACAGGATGTGCCCCTCCTGTCTCCTTCTCTGGCATTTCCTTTCACTCACTCCCTGTGCTCGTTTTTCTCTTCTCATGCCCTTAAATTCCAAAGCCTTGCCATGGCTCAATTAAAGATTCTACTTTTCTTCATATTCACTCTCTTAAGGAATGTTGGGTAGCTTTCATTAGCTCCTGTGTGTGTCTGATTTTAAAAACCCCCCAGCCCACGCAGAGCACCTGCGTGGCTCAGTTGGTTAAGCCTCTGCCTCTCTATCTCAGCTCAGGTCTTGTTCTCAGGGTTGTAAGTGCAAACCCCGCACTTTATTTCAAAAAAAATAAAATTAAAAAT